AAAAAACCCCAAACCAACTACCCTAATAACCAGGTGCCTTCAAAAAGACAATTGACTATTATCTTGCACTGCTCTGTGCTTTGCCAGGGCTCAGCTGGAGAGTGACTGCAATGAAACAGCATCTGGGGCTGAGTTGGATGAAGGCTGGCAAGTCTGAATGTCCAGCAGCCTCCTCACTCCCATATATAGTGCCTACAGTGGGGCCTCACCCAGGAAGACGGTCTTAAGCTATCTGTGCTTCTTGTATGGTGGTTGGCTTTCAAAAGGTTTCTAGTCCCCCTAAAGACAGGTCTGGAATTGGCATAACATCACTGCATTATATTAGTCAAAGTGGTCACAGGCAAGCCCAAATTCAAGGTGGGGTTGGGGAGAAAAGGCTCCACCTGTCAATCTGTGGAATGCATACTTGTGCAGTTATCTTTTCCAGGACATGTAGGATGAAAATGTAGAGATGTTTATGGAACAATTATGAGCCTTTTTTGGATCTTCAGAGAGAAGTTAGAAGTAGAACTGTGAATGGGAAAATTTTATCAAAACCAGGGGAACAGGGGGGTAAGATAAAGAAGGTGAGAATGGAAAAAGAATGACATAGCACTAATTAAGAAGTGGAAGCCAATAAAGGAGAGGGTAGATTGATAAAGCCAGTGAAGAGCAAATCAACCTGAGGAGACAAGAGGGGTAAGAATGTTAGGAGTGATGAGGGTACAAATGCTGCCTGCAAATTGGGAAGGATCTTATCAGAGGATGTGGTAATTGGAAGTTTAGGAGATGCCAGTGACTTGAATGAACATTTACAGTCACATTGACCAGGGAGAGAAATGGTATTGACTTTATGATATTGAGATATAAGGAAGCAGGAGAAAGCATACAGTGCCCCTCTTGGAGGATGGCAGGCATCAGTTAGGTGTGCCACCCTGAAAGATCTGACTTTGCCAGGATGGAGAAGGGAGGGAAAGGGAAGCTGTTTTCCCAGTTTTCTCTGCCTGTTTGAAAGGGTGGGTTGGGAGAAGGAAAGACGAGAAGGAAAACATAGAGAACAAAGAAAGGACCAGTAGAAGAGAGGTACAGAAGAGGTATTTAGCTTTAGAAAGGACTGGAGATGCTGGATGATACTGGAAGAAACATGGAGAATGGAATTTGGCAGTGGAGGGGAACTAACAGTAATCTTCAAGCTTTCTGTGAAGAGAGAATTAAACCACTTCATCCTGGTAGAGATCTTGGGATTTTCCACCTGTAGCCTGTTATATGCCACTCTTTCTGAAAAATCTTTTCCATCTTTGCTTGTATACTTTCTCCCTGTAGTTTGAGCCCTTTCTCCCAGGTTGCCCTCCTTGATTCAACCAGCTAGAATCAAGGGTTCTTTCACCTCAGAACATCTATCAAATATTTCTTTAACTTCTAATTCCATGTATTTATTTCCATCCATTATTTAGTGGCAGTTTCTCTTTCTTTCTAAGCTTTCTCTAAATACATTTAAAAAAGAAGGAGGAGGAGGAGGAGGAAGAGGTAAGGGATATGGAGGGATATAGGTTTGATATGAAGAGTGTTGGTCATTGGTAATGAGTACACAAAACTGGAGAGGGTTTGGTAGAACTGGAGATGAGAAACATAAAAAACTGCAGAAACCAACTTTCATCTAGCTTTAGCATTTTCTTCATTATTTTGGTTCTAATTGTTGATTAAGAAATTATGTAGAATTAAAATAATTTAAGAATTTATAATTTACTTATTTATGAAAAATTCTAAAGATAAAGAAAATTATAAAGGTAAACAGTTTCAAGCAGGACAGGACTGTGTCATGCTCACTAACTTTAAAAAAAATCTAGTCATATTAAATGATACTTAAATCTCCATCTTTTAATATTTAGATAGTCATGAACTATCCTTTCCATCTTCTTTTTTTGTATAAGTTGCCTTAGAGAAACTGGTTTAATTGTTTTACAATTTGAAGATTTTACATAACATTATTTTCAGCTAACACTTCTCTTTTATAGACACAAAAATTACTTGACAGAAAAATAGTATGAATTAAGAGTTGAGTGTGTTAGCATAAATAATATAGTCAACTAAGTCAAAGATAATTATGAAATAAAAGGTGAAATAGACCATCTTTTTTTGGACACAGGCTAATATTATAGTGTTATTTATACTGAACAAGAAGCATGCCTCCTTGTATCAGATCATAAAATATAAAAGTCTAGAATAGCCCTTGGCCTGTAAAAAACAGATTTTAACTGTGTGTTTTTACCATGTCCTGGTTTTAATAGAAAACAAAAGATGCATGGTAAATGGAATTCCCATGTATTTTGTTTTCTTACAAACTAAAATATAAGCCCCTTGAGGAGAGGGAGTATATCTTTCAAAAGTCCCTGTGCCTGGTGTAAGCGTTTCCTGAAGTGATGGAAGGTGAATAAATGAATGAATAGATGAAGCATGGGTATTGAAGTAAGCTTTATTTGAATATAATCTGAAAAATTCTAAAGCAAAATTATAAACCAGGATGTGAGTAATACAGTGAATATAATATATAAATATCCATCCTAGGTTCCATATTATATACAATAATTGTGCAAGCATAAAACTTACACATCAATGGAATGGGCAACTGGGATACCCAATACTGAGAGAATGTTGATAAAATTATGTAAAACATTTTCCAATATGGTAGAAAAAATATATTAAATATTTTGAGATAGTCCAGATTAATCTTTGCTATAAGCAGGTAAGTTTTTGTGAAAAAAAGTTTTTAATGAATATAGGCTTCCATCAGACAGCATTCTTTCCCTCCTTTTACCCCTAACTCAAGAAAAAACTATTTTGTACCTAAGAGCAAGTCTGATGGATATAGATAAAATGAGCAACAATTTTCATTTGAAAATTGTTTTATGATTTCTAGAGCTTATAATTTGGCTCAATCACAGTAAGAAATAGATATTAAAATGGATATTTTAGAGTATATTATTAACACCATAAAGAAAATATCTTAGAAATAGAACATTTCATCAATGTTTAGACTCTTTCATTTGAAATAGGTAATCTGTTTGATTTTATTCCATAGAGCAGATTTATGATATCTGGCTTGGAATATTATATGTAGGCTAATAATTTCACTTCCATGATTTGGAGTTCTAATTGGATCATAAATTGTCTGCTGAGGCTACTCTGTAAATAGAGTCTAGCTGCTTCTTTTGATAGTCTGAAGGAAGAGGAGGACAAGTCCTCCAAAGACATTAAATCTTTCTCAAATAGTGGTTACAAAATTGTAACTGAGATATAAATATGTGTGCATACCCTTATATAAAGTAACATCCTTATTAGCTCTGTTGATAAAAACCATTATTAGCTCTGTTGGTTTTGTCCTTTAATTTGAGAAACAAAGGCAATGATAAAGAGGAAAATAAGACAAAGCCATACAAATTGGACTTCAGAGAGGCTAAGCCATCTGTTCATCAGATTGATAAATTACTATGACCAAGGCACCATGGGAGAACTATTCATTAACATATAAAGGCAGTGCAAACTCACAGGGACCCTAAGCCAAGTGGCCTATAAATCTATAAATCATATCCATTAGAACAGAAAACATAAAGAAGAAATCTGTATTGACATACATTGATTGATTGATTGATTGATCACAGTGCTGGGAATTGAACCCAAGACATTGTGCAGGCTAGGCAAATTCTTTATCACTGAGCTACACACTCAGTCCTGGCATATATTATTTTAAGGTATTTTTCACAAGCAAGGATTTAAAGATATTTATATATTATATATACATATATACCTATTATATATATATTCTTTATATATATTCCTTTAAAGATATACATATATATCTTTATATATATGTATCTTTCATATATGTACAAATATATCTGTGTGTATATGTATATACATACACACACACACACACACATATATATATACACACATATACATATATTTGATCAGGATGATTTTTAAGATGTGTGCATATATCTCCATGTATACATATCTATATCTGTCTATATACATACACATAAGATGAGATGGTCAGAGTTTTTAATTTAATAACTGAAGTTATTAAATATTAGCAATATAATTTTCTATTACCATTAGTAGTATCAATTATTGTTCAGAAAAGGGAAAAGCTTAAATTATTATAAATTGATATTTTTGTGCTCTCTTTGTCCCATAATATTATGTCAGTATTAGAGAAAATCAGGACAGCCATGGGTCCTGTAGGAGACTGCTCTACAAGAAGCCTGTATCTCATATCAAGGTTAAAACTTCAATGAGTTTCCATTGGCTGAATGATTGCATAAATTAATGCCATTCAGAACAGCTTTAACTTGCACAGCTGACTTAGGAAATGTGTGACTAAGCTTCTAAATTGGCATCCGAGGCGCATTTACAGGAGTTGCCTTATCTCTGCACCACTTATTGCCTTTCATCCCCCCTCACTTCCTCCCATTATCATCATCACTTTCATCACAGGCAGCTGAAGTTTCTCCTTCAAAATCAAAAGCCCTTGGAGACTAGTCCTGCTTAAAGTTATGGGTCGCTAAAAATGTTGATGATGTGGTGTCTCTCTTTCATTTCCATTTTGATTAAGTGAAAGCCTCTTAATTTGGGTCATTATTGATACATAAATCTGTAGAGAAAATGAACATGCATTTATAATGTGACCACATTACATGATTTATTGTTCTTACAACATATATATACAGAAAGGAAAAATAGAGTCCAGCTCTTAGATCCCCTGGATATGAAGCACTGACAGGGACTAATGGGGCAAATGCACATCCTCTGAGCAGATCAGCCCCTGCTCTCAATGGCTCAAGACTCATTATTTCAACTGAACTAGGTCTCCCATTAAAAAACAACAACAACAACAACAACAAAATAAAAATAAAAAACAAAAAACCACATCTAATATCAGTCTGTCTACTCTATTTGACTTAACTTTTTGTGGAGGGTTTGTGAGTGGTAAATGAAAGACTCAAAATGGGTTTCCATACCTGATTGTGGACTTTGTTTAGGAATTTTGGCTACCGCTTGAGGGCTGGAGGTGGAGTGCGTCCGTTGGTTGGCTGAGCTGTGGATGCTGCTGGGAACTGCAGCTGAGATGTTCTTTCGGGGCTTCATATCTTGCAGCCACATAGGTGAGGCTTCGAAGGCCTGCATCCTCCGAGCATGACTGTTGGCATTGACTTTCAGGTAGGCCTGGGCCTTGTGTTCTTGGAGCTCCCCATAATTGGCATCAGTCACCCTGCACTCATATAAACCTTCGTCCTTTTTCCTCACTTTGGAAATCTGAAGTTTGTGGGAGATGTCATTGCCTTGAACTTTCACTGTCTGAAAAATTGCAGGTAAAAAAAGTGCTGCATGAAATGATTTTGTTCTCATTCTTTTTCCTGAGCTTGTTAATGTTGGAAAACTAATGGGCCTTAATGACCTCATAGCTACTGTCAAGGGGCTTTTTATTTCCTTAACATCTGATCTTAAGATCTTATTTATTTTACTCCACTAATAATGACATTCACAGACTTAGGATAATGAGGTCAGTCTAAACAGAGCCATATTATCAGTGTGGTTCATACTCTTCAGGTTCTGATAAATAGAAGTGCCAGCATTTTCTCAACATGGGACTGGATTAACTCTGCTTGGTTAACTCAGATGAATGGAGTATAAACCAATGAGGCCAACTCCGTAGTTAATGCAGATTCTTTTCTTTACTGTGGGTTATAAACTAACCCCTTCAAATCTGGAAGATCACAGAAATATTTTTGTTGGTCATAACAGCTGAGATGAGAATATACTTTTATCCCCACATTGAGGTGATTACTAAAGGTACTGTTACAACAGGCCCACGCCTATTAATGTTTTTTTTTTCTTTCTCAAAATTTTCATGTAATCTTGGTTACAGTTATTGGGTGGCAAAGCTCAGGTACTTGTTTATATCACCTAAAGTCTTATGGCTCAAAGTATATACCAGATGCCTTTGTAGGAAATTGCAATGCCATCAATAAAACACTGATTTGATTTTCAAAATTGAAATTGACCTTTTTATTTCTTCTAATAATTTTGTCCCAGGTTTTTAATATAACAGCTATATAAAATGTATATGATACATAATAAATACGATATATTTAAATATTATTATTGGAACAGTTAGATTTAATATATATCATGTTATCCATGATTGACAGAATGATAGATTTCATAAGACATTCAGGATTTAAGGTTTGAGTTAATTTTGAAAGACAGAGAAAAGTAGTGGAGACAAGAATATAGTTATTCTGCTAATGGCTATTGCATTTTCAAACAGCCATAAATAATTAAGAAAATTTGAGAAGTGTTACTCTGTATTTTATATAAACATATATGTATATAAGCGTATATATAACAAGTAGTTTCTGACATTTGAATTATAACCATAAGTATATATTTATGTGTATACAAACTTATATATAAATATTCTAACATTATAAAATAATGGAAGTCAGTTCTACATATATTCCTGACTAAGTCTTCTAACACTTGGAGGTAGTCAGAGTATTTATATCATTATTATCCCATTTTACCATGGAGTAAACTGAGGTTTAAGAAGTTTGCTTAGTGATTCTTAACACTGATTTTTATATTACAGTCAATTAGTTTTGCTTGAATTAATACAGTTCTATGTGGTCTAGAGGTTGAAGTTTTATCAGTATTTTATAAATATTTCCCAGAAAATCTAAGTTAATAAATGTTGGTTTAGTACAGAAGTTAAGGTCAAACAGAATGTACATGGGGAACAAATTACCTTCTGCCTCAGTTCATATCTAGAACTCTTTTCAACTCAGTAGATTTTATAATCTACTAACCTAGCTATTACTATTAGCAGTTGCATAAGTGATTATGTCTCTGTATGTGTCTGAAGGCTCTTTTTGTTATTATTCTTCAGATGGTATGGTATGGGCATGAAGAGTCAGCTGTTAATATTCAATCAATAAGCTATCTAATTATATGTGTATGTACAAAGTAAAATGCTTATGAAAAACACTATTAATTGATTTTACCAGTCAAGCTTTTCCTAGCATTATAGGAAAACAACAGCTTCTGTGATGTAAGAAAAATTGAAACTAAAATATTCTAAAAAAGTTTGTGATTTTGTGAGTTATTAAGTTGTTTGATATTTCTTCCATGTTGAGATTACACAATTAGATGATAGATTTAAGTTCTGCATACAATATATTTTTATGCTTTTAGTTATAAAGTAACCCCAATCTTATGCCACTTTATGCTATGGTAAGAGCTTTAATATAAATCTTTCTAAAATGTAGATTATTGAATTTTTAGATATCTAAAAATAAACAGTATATTCATCCTCAGTAGATTTCTTCCTTTTGTATTATAAAACTATTTCATATCTAGTACTGAAAACTTGTTAAAGCCATTTTTCAAGGTAAGTTGTATTATTAATTAATTTACTCTGCATAGCTTCATTTGAAGTATAGCAAAAAAGATGATTTTCATTTTCTTCTCATCATATAATTATTCAAACTAATAACCAATAGGGTAAAACAATATTTTCTTAGTTTCAATAGGTCAGTCTTCTCCAGTAATGGTTGCAAATTTATATTTGCTTTTGGCTTTATATTTTTATGATTTTGAACACCAGCATTAGAACTACATTAGATACACTATGAATGACATTTAAATTTGAGTTTTTTTATTTCATTATAATTTCAAAATCTTCTTGGATGCTTTAATTTTTTTCTCTCTCTAGGAAGATTTTTGTATATTACTTTTTCACTTTCTATTAAAGGATAATCATTTCCAAAATTTAAAATGCACATTAGCATTGCAGCCCTTCACTCTTATACAACTGCTACAAAGAACAAGAAAAAAAAAAGTCACACAACCTTTTTGGATACCAAAATGATTCTCTAGTTAATTTCTAGGTATTTACATGATTAATACATAATTTTACTTATGGACTCTCAAATCGCTTCAGTTTTTATGTACCTAAAGAGGTAAAGAGGAGATAACTGGCTCTTAACCTGCGTTTGCAAAATTGCTTTTTTTCAGGGACAACAAATTAAAAGGTTTTAAAATCTAAAATCCATTTACTACTAATGTTCACCTTGGGCCTGCCTAGCAGCTAAGGCACGCGCCCCCTGTCGCCTGTCCCTGTGACACTCACACTGATCTTGGTCCCGTCGTTGTCCGGCTCTCTGTCTGGTAAGAGCTCCACCTGCGGGACAAGGATGCAAATGCTCAAATTCCCACCGAGGTCCTCTGACTCTCACGTCCGCAGCACAGTGGTGCGGAGCCTTCCAGGCTAGTCCCAGCCTTTGTAGGTGTGTTGCAACATTTTAGTTAGGACTGGGAAGAGAAGGGATGTGGCCCCATCTGCATCTGGTCCCCTGGTCGGCCTTAGACCAACCCGCCTCCCGGAGGTTCGCTGGCCTGCGGCCAAAGCCGCGCGGCTAGACCCCGCTACCTCCCAAGCGAGCTTGTCGCTGCTCAGCGCGGTCCCGGCGCCACCAGTTTCGCGGAGGCTGAGCTCCGGGAGGCGGGCCCAGTGCCCGCGGCCGGGCCAGGTCTTCCTTGCGGTTGGATCCGTCTGGGGCTTCGGGTTCCGGGAAGGTTAGGGACAGACACAAAGATGCAAAGATGGGCCGAGATGTGAATGTGGGTGGAAGTTTTCGGGCACAAATTTCTCCATCTTTTTCTGCGCTGCTGTACCATCCCTGGGATTTATTTATTTATTTTATTTTATTTATTTTTTTTTACAGACTTTCTTTTTCACTCTCCTGAACGTCCGAGTCCTCTTTTGCTCAACTGCCTTTCTTCTTCGCTCTGACCCTCTTCTGTCTCCCTTTCTCCTCACTAAAATTCCTTTTCCCCTCCTTTCCTCACACTTCCTCCTTTTCTTCCTCCCTCCTCTTCTTCCTCCTCCCCTTCCTCTCCTATCCACCGGTGGCTCCATCATTCCCTCCTCCCTTTCTCCCCTCCCTCCTTCCTCCGCTCCGCATCAGCCTCTCCCTCTCCCCTACTTCTTTTCTTCCCCATTCCCTGCCCCACCCTCAACTATCTCGGTTAAAGGCAAAGGTGAGAGAAATGGGACTAGAAGGGAAGAGGGTGGTCATGCGGGCACGACCTCGGACAGGAGTTCTTCACACACACATACTGTCTAGGAAAGAGTAGCGGATGTCCTGGGATGTATGTACAGCGCTGTAGTGTCACAATGGGCATCTTAATAAAAGCAATATTAAGAGTAGGAGGTTACTCTCCAATTTAAATCAGGAAAGGCTCCCCATAATATGACTTCCTTGGTGGTTTTAACTTATGTCGCCCAGGACAAATTCAGGCTTGTTTCCTATATGGCTGGGCGTCTTTCACGCCCCCCTCCCCAAAAGATGGGAAGGTCCCCAGGGACACCTAGGCAGCATCTTGGGCCCTGGGCCCCCCCCCCCCCCATTGGAAACCCAGAGAACTAAAAGAGTGGGACAGACAAGACACGGGAGCTTTGCGGACTATGTGACTGCACTACCTGCGCTCCAGCCACCTCGGACCCAGGCTCCAGGTCCTCGGGCCCCCGCAGGAACCACCATTGGATCTCCAGGTACACCGAGGCGGAGCCGCTCTGAAAAGCGCAGGACATCTCCACATTCTGCCCCTCTGTCGCTGTCACATTCCGCGGAAACTCGGTAAATTTTGCTGTAAAACAGGAGCACATCCTTTTGGCATATATACACCACTCTCTCCAACGTTTCTTTCCTTGAGAGCTCACGTTTTTCTCGGACTTAAAAAACAGCAACAACCCGTCTATGACATCCCTGACTTTGCCTGCTTACATCCCCCACCCTCCGCCTTTCTTTGCCTCTTGCCTGTCTTATTTTTGGTATCATGACTAAATCACTTTGTTGTTGATCAAGTCCAGATAATGGAATGGCTAACAAGCTTGCCAGTAACTCTGTTAGCCAAGATGCCCAGAGTTAGATCCAAATAACCTTTGTCAGATTGCAGCATGCCATAAAACTTACTGAGATTCAGTGAGGTACAATTTAGACCATATGTCAAGTTGTTATTATGAGGAAAGCCTCTTCCCTCTAAGTTTCTAAACAGTCTATGACTAACGGAATATTTCATTTTGCAGGCTGATCATGACTCTGTCAAAATGCACATTGCTGATATGACAAAAACAGTTATTAGCAATTGTGATCTGAAGCCTACAGTAGTGAAACAAGTTGCACACTTTTTAATGTTTTTATTTCATTCTCTAGAAATTAATCTTCACATTTGTTCCTATCAAGTTATTGTATAGCTATTGCCATGTCCCTTGGAATCTAACAATCATACATCCAGGTTTAGATGAGATTGAAAAATATTTTGAAGTCACTACAGAGATTTTTTTTAAAGCCTATTCATTACCAACTGTAACACTGCCAGTTTGTCAGATTCATATATACATGGTGAAACTCACAAAAATAAAATGTCCTCTTTCTCCTTAAGGGCATGTTTTTGAACATGTGATGCTCTTGTTAACATGGTTGTTCTTATCTGTGTAAAGGACACTTTGCAAAGAGCTGATTGCTTCCGAAAAGTAGTCTTAGATTTGTGGCGGATGGAATTGTATAGCTACAGTGCACAGTTATGGAAAGGAGGGCTGAGGGAACTGCAGGGATGATTTAGGGTGTATGCACTTTACCCCCACTTTTAAAAGATAGATACTCATTTCAAAATTTTATGAAATCCCAGATTGATCTCTAGTGAAATGGAACTGTGTTTATACTTAAAGGAAATGGGAGCTATTGAGAAGGCAGTCTGATCTGAAAAGGACTTTTCTTTTCAAACTGGAAGGAGGAGTACATGGCATTTCTGCTTGCAGAAGTGATGCAGTCTTCTGGCAGCAGAGATGTGATCTGTTCATGGTGCTGAAACGACCACTGCAGCCTGCAAAGTCCTGAACAACTGGATTCAGCAGGCTGCTGCAGCTTGTAATGCAAGTCGTGCCTTTTTTTATGGGTCCTCAGAGGAGTCTGTCCTTTGATAAACACACATGCAAACGAAGTCACACAGACTCAGAAAAGGAAAACTCTAAACCCTTTCTGCCTGCAAGGGAAAGCAGGACTGATGATGGAAAGTCCCCCAATATCCAGTTCTGTTTGTGGTGATTATGTATGCATGAGTGGTTATCCTGTGCATGCACACAGAAAGTACACACACACACACACACACACACACACAGCCCTGTGTTTGTGTTCACTGAGGAACTCACCTCCTTGCCAGGCACCAAGTGTATAATCTCTGAAACCTCTCATGCCTATGATTTAATAAACTTTAAAGAAAAATATCAAACAGAATACTATCCATACAATCTAAACCCACTGTTACTTGCTAAGAATCTCACCATATCTTCCTGTACATGCTTTGAATATAAGGAAAACAACACACACACACACACACACACACACACACACACACACACCAGATGTATATTTGCCATTGAGCACAGACTTACCTTGAGAAGAAAGCCCTTGTTGTACGTATAAAACGGAAAAGAAAACAATTCCAACATATGCCAAAAAGATCCCCATCATTCCAAAGTGGGGGGGTCACATCAGTGTAGCCAACAGCCAAAAAGCCCTAAAAGAAGAGAATGCAAGCGTATCAGGAGGCTCTGTTTCAGAGCCCTGGGCGCGACACTGCAAACATCCTATCTTGCTGCTCGCTCCGCGGGTGAAGACTGGCTTTGGGGAGAGGGGAATGCAATTCGCGAAGGTTAAAACCAGATGGCTAGGATTCCTGAGGCTTCTAGTGCAGACCCAGGCTTCAAACGCCGGGAAGTGTCTCCGCTGCTGGCTGGCTGCTTTCAGCTACCTGGCAGCTTGTCCAACGTCAGCCCGCTGCTCCAGCTTGCGTGATCACTGCCCTCCCTAAACACCGAGCCAGCTCGGGAAGCGGGGAGTGGGCAAGGGGGGCGGGCTGGAGGACTTCGCTGGGCTCGCGGCGCCGCAACTTTTCCCTCTAATGGCTGCGATGATGCCTTTAACTCTCTGCGTGCTGGAAAGCTCCGCACCTGCAGGAAGCTTGGGCCGGGCAGCCCGCAGAAGGCTGAGGGCTGGGCGGCTCCATCTGTGTTTCCCTTCTAGAGAGCAGGGACATTTATTTTTTCCCAATTTGCTTTTTCTCCCCATCAGTTGAATCTTTTTGTCTGGATCTGATGGCTTACTGCTGAAGAAGACAATACAGTTGGAGGGTTGCAGTGTTTGCTTGGGGCTAGGAGTGAGGGATTTGAGGAGGAAGTTGAAGCATTGTTGAAGAAGAGGGAGGAATGGGATGGGGTGGAAGAGACTGCTTCGGGGCAATGAAAACAGCCATTTGAGGGAAATGTCGCTTAACCAGTTATTAACTGCTCTAACTAGAATGATCACATGCTATTATTTCACAAGAATTTATTGCTGCACAGCCTCCAGTTGGAAGACAAGCCTTTCATGCAGGCACCATATCACTCCAGCTGGTAAACCAGAGAAGAAAAGTACAAAAAGTCACGTATTGAGAGAATTTCAAGAAGAAAAAGCCCACCATATTATGTTTATTATTTTTTATTCATATACCCTCTGCCTTCCCTCCCTCTATCGCACAGTATCTTGGAGTGTGGGGGGGTTCAATATCATTAAGGTTTTCACAACATGATTTATGTCTATTTTGTTCACTTTCTTCTCTTTTGTATAGCAATAATTTTGTAAGGTACCCCAGGATTATATGAATATGAAATATTATTTGAGGCAGAAAAACAGTTTTAGAATTTTTATCAAATATAGTTTTCTGCTCTGGCAAAGTTTGAGAAGTATATTCTATTTTTCAAATGAAAAATCTAAACAACAGTATATATCCTATTAGATTGAGATTCTATTTGCCCTTGTGAATTCTAACCATTATTGAGTTTGAATCTTTAACAAAATTGAACATCATGTGCTATCAAAGGAGAGTGTAATTTTTTTAAAATTCCAATTATTATTTCTGTGTAACAATATCTCCAATCTGTAGTATAAGTTGGAAATATAAGTTAATATTAGCAATGCTGTCCAGAAACCAATGCAGTATATGTGGATTCATTAACAGATAAAGAATTTGCAGTTGGCTAATGCGTTTATTGGCCAGAAACAAAAATTAACCTTAACATAGCTTTGGGATTTTAAAACCACTTCTACTGCTGAAAGCAGCAGAAACTTAAATTTCAGAAAACTAAGACACAATAACTTCGAAACAATGAAATTTATTTTCTGAAACTACATTTATTTTCTACCATAGGTAGAGGCAGAACAGGAGACTTGGAGACAGTCATGGAGATATTTTGTATCTGTTGACGTTTAGGCCAACCAGACTCTACATCCTCATATTTTATTCAGCAAAACAGATTTTGAAGTTTGTCATTCTCAGAAAATAAGACTCTTTATGTTCAAACACTCCTTCTAAGAATGTGTTCAGTGTATAGAAACACAGTTTAAATTAACACACCTATCCCATTCTAAATATTATTTGGAAAGCAAACAACAAAACATTGCAGGTATTAGCTATTTAGAGATTGGTCATCTTCAGCTTTGAATATACTTAACAGAATATGCACAAAGTGATAACAAGATTTAAAGCTTTTTTTTTCAACATTTATTATAAACACTAGTTTAGTATGTCATGAAAATGACCTGACTTCAAGGTTATCTGCTGTTTGAATGGTTTTCAATATGAAGAAAAGGGCATCCATTTTAAGCAAGAGAAGTTCTAAATTAATTTAGCAAAGCACTTCAACTGCTTTATGGGGAATTTTATCACTATAATTGTAAAAGCATAATAAAAATAAGATAAAAATGTAAAAAAGAAAGTGTGAGGAAGGCTATTATAGGGAAGATAAATCATTAAAGTATTTTAAATAGAAAGTTAAAGCATTCAAGCTATGAAAAAAGGAAGAAAGGAAGGAGTGTGAAAGGGAGTTAGGGAGGAAGGAAGGAAAGATGGATGAAAGGAGGGGTTGGGAAAATTTTGTTATTCTTCTTATGAAAATTGCCTGATATGTATTTTTATTTTCAGTTTTGCCATTGTAGACCAAACTATTTTCTTAAGTATCTATAACATATTCTTAAAGACTTTAAATAGTGCCACTAAACACATCTGTATTAATTTCTACAGAACAATTAATTGCCTTATTAAAGACAATATATCTCTATATTGGCAGCTTGAAATGACAAAAATATTAATAAAAAGTAAATATACACAGTGTATTAAATGATACTGTCAAAGACAAAGTCCCATAATTTTAAAGAGTCCTCATAAAACATTATATTTTCCTATAAGTTCAGAAGCAAATTATCAGGTAAGATTTCTTGTCTGTATCCAAATATGGGAGAAACATTTTCTACTCATCTCTTCTTCCCAAGTTATTGCTGATCACTGACACTATTTAAATGCCTGCAAATCTCTCTTTTTTTAAAAAAAAAAAACACATTTATGAACTAGTGTTCCGAAATTAAAAATCTATCATATCAACTTTTGATGGTTTTCTTGCTCTCTGAATTAGTTTTCGTCCATTATTTAACATTTAAAAAATGTAAAAAGTCCATATCCCCACAGGTATTTTTGGTCCTAAATTTTATGATGGTCATGGTCACATGATATGTTCCTTCCTCAGACATAATTCAATCTGTTTGTGTCCTATTGTTTTACATTGTATGTTGTTTCAGTTCCATTTATTTATTTTTCACATACTCAGATTTACTTAACTTTCTCTTTCAAACACTGTTCCTTTGTGATGTCTGGTAGCCTTCACATCTTATAAGCTTTCAGAGCTCTTAGTCCATCTAGATCTCAGCTGGAGAGGAAGGTCTTTAAGTTCTGTGCCTACTGACAATATGATCTCTTTCTCCTAAAAGGGATTTGGGGGACATTTTTTTCATTTTGAACTTGAGAGAAATCACATTTCACTCCCATTTGCTCTCAGTAGGTTGACTTTCCATGTCACCTTTCTTATATATACCAAATGTAAACATTAAACAAAATTGGAATAGGGGCTGGAGTTGTGGCTCAGTGGTAGAGAGCTTGCCTAGCATGTGTGAGGCCCTGGGTTTGATTCTCAGCACTGCATATAAATAAATAAAGGTCCATTAACAGCTTAAAAAAATGGAATAATTGGCAGATGTAAAACTAGGTATTTTCTTTTGCAAACAACCTTTAAAGTACTAAAAATATTCACTTACAGAATTGAAAAACAATCAGTGTGGATCCTGAAAGGTAAATTTTGTTTCTTTACTTCTCTTGCAGGTATCTTACTGGCTCAGATGAACTGTATTTGTGTTTCCACCATGCCCCTGGAGGTACATCCTACTGTGCTCTTGAACACTTTCTTTGGAGATAATCAAAACTGCATAAGAGAGAATATTTCAAGGTATTGAGAAAAATTTTCACATACAGTCTCATGCTTGGATTAATTTATTTCTCACTTGGGAAAATAAAAGGAAATATTACAAAGTCTAAATGTTGAAGAGATATAAAAAATCAACAAATTTTATTTCAACTAAAGAAAATGAGTCTAAGAGAAATTCACTAACTCATGTTAATCCAAAATGAGCTTTTAAAATATGTATTCTGCTGACCATACAAGCTAAAGTAGTCAAATTTATGTCTACTCTACATTCTGCAATTTCAAAGATATGGTAAAAATCAAGAACACATGGAAAAAATGGATGAAACAACATAAATAATATCTTCTTCCATACATGTTCATGTCAGTTTCCCCCAGAATTACTAATTGCACATATATGCACATGTCTGTACAAAATGAGTGCATTTCTGAACTGCAGTGGATTTTAAGAAAAAAATGAACCCTAGTCCTTCATGTTACACTGTTCTGGAACAAACTAATACTTTATTTCTTCAGGATCATGAGATATAAAATGCAAGTTAAGACAAGCATAGGAAAATTGTTAATGCTTATGGTTCTACAAATTATACTAAGAATTGACCGTATAAATCAAAATCAATTCTTTCTTAGGTACTGTTAAACAAGTCATTTAAAAGTCTAGGCTCTGAAGTAGTTCGCAAATCTCCTCAGTACAACCTCGTGTTGTCTTATTTCTTGTGTTTTATAAAGTAAACAATTTATGTAGAGGGAATAACTGGTGGTCTCTGGAAGTGATCAAACATTTTAAATAGGCAGGTAACCTATATGGACTCAGACTGCCCATTAAATGGCTACTGTTCATTTTAATCTTCCAGATGGCATTTATCCTTTTGTCTTTTTCTTTTATACATGACTGAAATGTAAATTACTTAGATCTGGCTTTTATGCTGTGGAACTCTGTGTAACTTTGTAATTGAAGTTCACAAAGTTAGAACTCAAATTATTCATGAGGTCGTGTTATGTCATTTTAAAACTGTAATGTCTGGCCTAGAGGCGACCTCTGGAAAAAGCAAAGAGAAGCCTCACATTTTCTGTAAAAGTTAATATCACAATCTGCTTAGATGCCCTCTACAAAACTCATGGACCCTGATATTCATTTTCTTCTCTTATGAGAAATTAAAATGGGCTCATGATCAAATATAGGTTGTGTCTGTTAATTTCTTCATTAGCAAAAAGTTCATATCTCCGTTTAAAAAAAAAAGTCTGCAGTAAAACACTACCAAGTAAGTCAAGCTTTTAATTTAGTTCTGCATTTGATTTAGCCATGTTCTGTCACAGAGTTCTATATTGGATAAAGGGCTTTGATAGTACTCCAGCATGTGTGGAATTCTCATTGTGACTTAACTTGGATCTGAGAACATGGTAGGAAGATTTTTGTTTGTGTATGCATAATGACCTAAATCTGCTCATCAAAACCAAAATTTTCATTTTATTTGTTTTTGTGTTTGTTTGTTTACCTCACTGGTATAGATTGGTTGGTACTTTGGAAGAACAGTCTTCTATTTAATTTCTAATGTCATTGTAATAAATGTGCTTCGACCAGATAATCCCAGCATGTTTAAAACCTCTGTTTGATGCAGCATTTCTTTGACTTATTTTGTGGTTAAGTGATGAAGTACTGTCACCAAGTAATCACTCCGTCAAAAAAAGAACCCGTTAAAATGAAGCAC